GTTGGTGCGAAGCTCCATGGTGGAGGCACTGCAGTCTTGATATGTAAACCTGGGAAGGTACATGCACTAATCGGCAGCACAAGCATGCACGCTCGTGTAGTCCTTACCACCGTCAGGATGGTCATTCTCACGTTCATGTTGTCGAGAGCCGTCGTGTGCCATCATCATCATCATCATCATCATCAACATCATCGTCGTCGTCGTCGTCATCATCATCATCATCATCATCGTCGTCGTCGTCGTCGTCATCGTCAACGTCATCGTCATCACCATCATCATCATGATCATCATCATGATCATCATCATGATCATCATCATCATCATCATGATGATCATCATCATCATCATCAGCATCACCATCATCATTTTCACCAGTCTCCTCCTCCTCCTCATCATCATCATCATAATCATCATTATTATCATCATCATCGTCATCGTCACTATGCCATCACCATCACCATCATCATCTTCACCAGTCTCCTCCTCCTCCTCCTCATCATCATCATCATCATCGTCATCATCATCATCATCATCCTGATACTTCTTCATCGTCGTTCAATCAGCGGCCTCATCAAACGACATACAATCCTCACACCCATCTCTTGAGAGTAGCCCTTCCTAGCATTGGCGCCACCTGCCGTGCAGGCGGCTTTTCATCATGTTCAGTTCCTCATGACTGTGATGCTTTCCTTCTGTTTTGAGTGAGATTCCGGAGTAATCCACAGAAAACTGTCGTCCTCAATTCTCACTTCCAAACATCCCATGCTCGGGTGAGGCCGCTGCTCATGGCACCAGTGAAGAAGCCTTTGAGCGCTGGCTCCGGCAGTTCCACAACGAACGGGACTCTTGGGGGTGCAGCTGGGGTTTTGTGTTTCGAGAATCTGATGCTGCAGACTTTTACTCGTGGTGAACCGTGTCTCCACATGGTCAATCCTAACAGCTCCTCCAGCGGATTCCTCCGCTCTTGGCTTGTTGAGCATCTTTCCACGCTAGTGGCAAGAGCATTCTGATCCATTCTGGAGATCGTAAAGCCCGCCGCATGACCGCAGGACGATGAATGGTTTGCCAACAACCGCACTCGCGTCTACAACGTGCCACCACCCAGATCTGTTTCCAAGTCCTTTGTTTGCTGTTGTGATTCGGGGTTTGAGGGGGCTTAGAGCAGGCTGAGGGTTTGGGATGCAAGCTTATTACGCATGATCCGCCAGTTTATGAGCCCTCAGTGTGACTGCCTCCCTTGTTCTGGAAGCTTTGAGTCTCGAAATAATCGGAGCAATCAAACAATGAGAAGAATGCTGAGCCTCACAAACATCCTGAAGCCGAAAGCATTGAATCCCCACAGCCACAAGAGCCCGGACCACGGCTCATCGAGGCTTTTCGCCCACATTGGGATGAGGTCACAGACCCCCTGCGCAAAGACGCAGCCAAAAGACCACAGATGTGAGCTTTCCGTGCAGTATGACCCTGAGCTCTTAAATCCCCAAATCTCAGCCCTCAATCCTGAGCCCGAGGTTCTGGGATGTAGGCCTGCTCACCGATCTGGAGTTGCACGTGTTCAGATTCCCAGTTCCGGCAACCTGAACAGCAGCGTCAATGCACCTCTGGCCTCAAGCTGACTCAAGTCCGAGGGCTGTATCCACGGAAGAGGGCCCAGAGACCAGCATGCGTCCCAAGGGGCAGTCCTGTCAGACTACTTACACTACAGCAGATCCGTCGGAATCACGTGCACAGTCTGGAGTTGATGAGAACCGGGACATGCAACAGAGCTCGAACAGCTTGCTACCAGCATCCGGCAACCGCAGCAACCGTAACATGTGGAAAGGATACCGGGGATTGCATCGTAGTGCTATGACAATGGCCGGCCTTCCGTGAATTTTCAGATGCTGCGCTTGGAGGGCCGGACGCTCAAAAGGGCCCAAAGCGTCCCTTCAAGGCCCAAAATTCCTAACCGCTTCATGTTTGATCAAGGAGTAGTGAGAAGTAAGAGGGTTTTAGTGGGGCATTGGTGGCTTCGAGCTTATTGGGGTCCAGACCTACAACGTATGGAAGTTCTCAAGGAAGGAGACGGGCCAGTGACTTTCGGGGCACGAGGCGAGGAGCAGGTGAGTTGATTGTGTGACTTGATTCCGTCGGTCTGAGAGACGTCTTAGCATTATCTGCTATTCCTCCTTTCAATCCTGGAACTGCACATGCTTCAGCCAAAGCCTAGCTTCGAGCTCTGAGTTTGTGAAGGATCTCAGCTGCAGGCGTTTGGGAAGACCTTGAGCCTTCTGTCCTGTGCCCCGAAGACAGACGGTCAAAAAGCATCCGTCGTAACGATTCCACTAAGGCTGCATGACAGTCACCAGGTCTTAGAGAGCCCAAACAGTCAATGCCAAACCCAATTAAAACACCAGCCTTAAGGCGCAAAGCCCAAACCCTTAAACCCTAAGCCCTAAACCCTACTAAACCCGCAAACGCCTAAACCCCTAAATCCTCAAACCCTAAACCCGAAGCCCCCAAGGCCCGAACCCTTCACCCCTAAGGCGCCGCCCCGGGCACTCCAGCTTTCGGCTGCGCGGGTCAGGCTCGAGCCACGAGCTTTGCTTAGGGTTAGTAAGGGTGCTAGGGGGTGTAGAGATCAGGCTAGTTTAGGCTTCAGGGGTGTATGGTACACGGCTGGGAGTTCAGGAGTTTGGGGACTTGAGACTGTAGGGGTTTGGGTGAAGCGGTCGTTGTTGTGGAGGTCGTTCTCGTCGTGGTGTTTGTCGGTTTGTAGTCGACGTCGCGGTTGTTTCTGCATCTGCTGCTCGAGTTTGAGTGTCCGAGCTACCTCTCAATTCCTTTCAGCAAGCCCAACCCGAGACTTTGAAGCAGAAACCGCAAAGCCCCCGTCAAGAGCAAGGCCGAACACCACTTTCGAACACATCCGCTTGAATGAGGCCGGCTGGAGAGCTCCGGTGGGAGATGTGGAGCCGAGATCTTAGCCAGACGAAACCCACAGACGTTGATAAGGCGACGTAGAACTTTTCAGATCCAGGCTTGTTTGTCGTAGAAGCTCGGTACTGGAATGGATGCTGGTAGAATTGGTAGAAGCAATGCTGGTTGTAGTTGTAAGAGTCAGACTGCAGGACCACTATTCACCATTGAGGACTGTTATCGTCTACTGTGATGATTACCATGATGGCAGTGATTCTTAGGGAGTTGACGTAGCAGTAATTAACGCATGCGTAACGGTCAAACCAGTCGTAAACGCAGGCACGTCGTGCCTGCAGACTCTTGCACGCTTCAGGCACTCAGTACAAATCCAGCGCATGGAACTCCCTAAACCCTAAACCCTGAACCCTAAACCCCCAAGGAGACCAAAAGCTGGCGTCCTAGGGCCTCGGGCTTCTTGCGCTGAGGTCCGAGATCCTCAACCTCCGGACGGCGGACGGAATCTCAGAACCTGGGGATTTCGGAACTCCCTTCATCCCTAAACCCGAACCCCCAGATCCCTAAACCCTAACACCCGCTATCGCCCCATCCGAAACCCGGAACTTCCAGGCTCCCTTCTCCTTTCGAAGCTTAGGTCGAGTCTTCCCAGAGAGGCCTCTCGCAGCTGGAGGCGGGAGCCTAAATCCTCACCACAATATTAGCACAAGTTTTCGTATTAGTGAGCATTCGTATTGTTAGTGTTCGCCTTTTTGTTGTTCTTGTCGTCGTTTATTGTTATCATTTATGAACTTATATATGACTGTTCTTATTATTGCTACTATGATGACTATCGTCATTGGTATCATTGTCATCATCACTGGTCATTATCATCATCACTGTAATTTCATTATCATCATTATTACCATAGGCTGGGACGCTGAGGGGTGAGTTTTCACGGTTCCGTCCGGGGATATCGTGAAGCGATTGCATGCAAGGGTTTAGGGTTGCAGGGTTAGGGTGTAGGGTTCAGGATTTAGGTTCTAGGGTCTAGGTTCTGTAGTTGCAAGTGGCCAGGAGATCTTCCTACCAACTTCCGCTGGGTCAGGAGCAGTTGAACAGATAGTTGGCACGCTGGATCCACGCCCACGAATCCGAGGTGTTTGATATAGAATGCAGTCCTCACACACACACACACACACACTCACTCAGCTGGCGAACCAGCAACATCATTCCTTCCTTTCTACTCCTCCGCACAAAGTTATGAAGCGGCCTGGCCTTTCCCACCGACTATAGGCCCCTCGTCGCGTGTGTGAGTACTACAGCTGCGTGCCACCCAAGTTCAGCTTGTCTGCTCTAGGCGATCCTTCTCTATCCAATGCTTCGTTTGTCTTATATAAAGCTGACCACACCCTTCGGGCAGGCCAAGATCCAGAGCAAGCTCGAGTTGGCATGCCGTCGCCAGGTGTACCAGCGCTGGGGGGGGTAGTGGGCAGCTGGGATTATGTGTTCATTTTTGCATATTGTTGCGGCAAGCTGCAGCAAATTAAACTTGGGGTAAGTGATCGTGCGGCCAACCATCTCAGCAAATCACAAGACTTGCCGAGCTGGAGTGTGTGAAAGATTGGGACCCCAGTTTCGGCACGAGATTCTTCGCAAGTTTCGCGGGGCCCCTCACTGCACTGCCCCAAATGCTACCATCTTGCCTCCTTGAAGCCTTGAAGCCTAAGAGCCCATCAGATCGAAGCAGGTCGAGGATGTGATGGCCTCTCAGGGCCCGATCGTGGAGTTCAGGCGCGCGGCCTGAATGGCCGAATCTTCGACTCGTAGACTCGGGCCGAAAGAAGCTTGGAAACTCCAAGTGAAGCGCCATCAAACTATAAATGACAGGCATTCTGAGTCTCAAACAGCATCTCCTGCTGCGCAGCCTGCTCCGGCAGGCAGTCGTTGTCGAAGGTGCAAAGACGCTGGGCTGCAGAGTCTTTGGCTGCCGATGCGACTGGGGAATTGATGGACCACGCGAAAGCCGATTCAGCACGTGCCAAAACCAAGACTTAACGTTTCCGGAGAAGACATTTATACATGATCCCCAGCCGAGCTCTGAAGGCATGAGCCAGCGCCTTGCAACCGAGCTCAGCCCTCGCCCCAGTGCGTTTTCGACACCTTCATGTCATCCGTGCATGGGAAGCAGCCTTCAAGTGGGGAGATCAGCCTTCGGCGTCAGGGTTTAGATGGCTTTAGGGGCCGCGGTTCGCTTGTAAAGCCGAGGCAACGTTCCACATGCGAGGGACGTGAGCAGCTTCCTCGAGAAGCACCAGGAGACTTTCGAGGCGTGCATGCCGCTGCTGCGAGCAAGTTCCTGAACATGTCATACAGGTTTCATGCAACTATATACCTCTCAAAGGCAGAGATGGTGAAACCCAACACATAAACACTTCAGAAGCGCTACTAGTAGCTCCTAGACTCCGACACACCCTCAGCTCCGAAACCGCGGAAGCTCGCAGTCCCGGGTGGGCGAGCGCATCGCCGTCCTGGAGGACACGCGGCTCGGTCGCAGGGTTCCGGCTTCAGGCTTTGAGGCCCTTACTCAGGTTACCAGGGCTCCTTCGTAATCTTCGTATAGTTTAGTTAGAGTCTTCAGGCATGCATAAACTTCGGGCGGGGGTGGTGCTGCTTTCTGAAAAGGCTTTTGGGCGAAGAAACTTCGCCACGCGCCACGAAGAGATCATACCCCGAAGCGAATATGATGCTGATGATGGTACTGACAGGAACAATCTAGAAGAGATGAGAGCCATGATGACGAACATACGACTACCAATCAGAAGAGACAGCCAAGCGGGAAGTAGCCCCCCAACCTTGTACTCAACCTTTGAAGCCCATTAACCTGAAACCCAAAAATCGAAAGTCCCAAACCCTTATCACCTAAACCTCACAGCCCTTAAAGTACTCCCCCCTTCCGCCAACACCCTCAACTTCGCCTTTTCTTCGAAGCTGGTTTCCCATCGCAAGCCTCAAATTATGGGCCTTGTGAGCAGAGGTTGACGCGGCAGATCCAGGCCTCCTCGTCTGCTGGCAGTACAGGGACCTTAAGCTTCCGTACTATTATTACCTATACTATTTTGGGGGTTCCTTATTTTTCTAATATATTGTACCCCGAAACCCTATTCTAATTGTTAAGTATTCTTATGGTGACAAAGGCCCACATATGTTGTTTTCTAGTACTCCTCCACCCGAAATTCTAGCCGATGAAGGCTCAGTGCTCAGAATGTTGGACTTGGGTGGATTCGGAGTCAGAAGATCGAGATGTGAGGCCGCGGAAGCCTGACCCGACCCAGCGTTGTCATTTCAGCCTCAAGCCCGGAAGCCGAAACATACCCAAACTCTACATGAAGCCCCCAAGCCCTGAAGCCTTAAAAAGACTCCAAAAACTCAAGCCCTGAAGGCCTAAAGGTGTAGGTCGCTGCGCACGACAGTTAAAGCGGTAGGAAGCATTCAACAAGACCAGCCTGAAACCAGCCCTATAGAGCCTTTAAATATAATATGCTCTAATATAATACAATATAATCTGGGCTTGTTTGCCAGGGCTCCCTGGAGCGTTTGGATCGCCACGGATCTGAGACCTGGCGGAGCTGCCTTCAGCGCATGGCGGGGGGAGGGTTTAGGGTTTAGGGTTTAGGGCTTCAGGGGCTTCCTGCGGTTGGCTGGAATTTCGATACTTGTGGCCCTGAAAGCGGGTTCGCTGCCAGGAGGTGCAAAGGCTGTCGACGCTGAGACACCCTCCAGCCGGAAGATGAAATCAACCTTTGCAATTGTTGCACCTCCGAACTCAACTTCACCATCCCGATGTCCGAGGCTCAACGGCTCAACGCCCAGCCTTCAAGCAACAAAATCAAGCACTTGCACCCTCAGCCGGAAAGGGCAGGGGCCCAATGAACTTCGAAACCCAACCCCCCCCAAAACAGAACACCGAAGACCGAGGTCATGCGCCTTTAAACCAGAGACCGTCAAAGCCCCACTGCTCACGGAGGCTTCTCTGGAGGAGAAAGTAGTTCTCCAATCCGCAAGGGCCTCAGGGTCCCTTCAAAGAAGAGCGAGGGTCTGGGATCTGAGAGGGGACAGAAGCTACGTCGGGTTTCGGGGCCCTATATAAAACGAATAGACCTTCGGACTTCTGCCTCACTTGAGGACATCGTGCGCATCGTGGATCGCACTTTGGCCGAGGTGCATGGCCCAGACAAGGTGTTGGAGTGCAACAGACTCAACCTGAAACCCTCAGCTGAACTCGCTCAACAACCAACTATCTATATATCAAACTATCTATCTATCTATCTATCT